GTAAAAAAGTAAAGTTTACTTTCAAACATTACGGTCTATAGGGCAAGTGAAGTAGAGCTAACTTGTTTCTGTGACCTCAGCATATGAAGAGATAGGTGTGGTCAGCCGCCTTTGCTTTTCCTAACGTGAGTTAGTTACTAATCATAGTTAGGTGGACTCAGGGACGGTCTACTGACTTGCACCTGTATTCGACCTCGAGACTTACGGGTTAGCAGCTCAACTCTCTACCGCTAGACCACTAATAATATAGTGCAAGCACTTTATTTCTTAATTGTTATCAAATATGTAAGCCGCGATATCACAATAAAGTGAACACTGGTTACATGTTTACATTCTAACGTTAAAGTATTCACAATAGTTATTTTCGTAAATAAATAAAACTTTAAATATGGACTAAGCATAATGCCGAACATATTATACCTTCATATGTTACAATAAAAAAGCTGAACTCAATTTATTTACATCATGTAGGTGTTCTGGTATGTCTTGAACCTTTCATTTTTAATTAAATTGTACTGTAGTGTTTTCTGACTGAACCATATTTTTATAAAGTTTAATTTGTTATGAAAACATGTTAACAATTTTTTTGTTCCCCTATATTGAGTTATTAATATTTTATCACATTTCACAGACTATCTTATTATTTGAACAAAATCAATATCCTCTAGATATAGAAACGGCTAAGTCTTTAATCTCTATCTCAAACAGGTGGTACAGTTACAAGGGCGAGACCACCTACGCCGCATACTTCAACTCGTACCAAAACTTCACCGACACAGAAACGACCTGCCAGTCTCTGGGTGGCCATCTCTTAGTGGCCAAAACCCTGGCCTGGTTTGATCTATTCAAGTTCATCGTCAACTCCACTGGCTGGGTGTGGATTGGCCTGAACGATATACAGGTGGAGGGGATGTTTGTCTGGGTGGACGATGGTCAATAGGTGGACCCAGTGGTCCAATTAGATAGTTATTTAAAAAAAACCGCACTTACCAAAAGACTTTTGAGTTTCATTCTCTAATTTGCACGTGGATTTGATGCATATGTAAATAAACACATTCGCTAATTATAAATATAATATGTGAAATAAAACACTGTTTAATAAACGATACGTAAAATATATTGCTTTGTTTAAAACATTCGATTTGCGTTAGTTACGTATTTGTATTGTTATCAAGGGAAACAACCAACATCTTATGTTTTCGATAAAGCAAGACAATAATAATATAATGTAAACAAGAAATATTGTTTAATTAATAGAGTCAACACATTTATTAATATTTGTGTATAAGATATATTTACTATTAATGAAAATTTGTTGAACGAATGAAAATGTTTTTTGACTCTAAATAGTATTGAAAAGCAATAGATCAAAGACTTGCTTATTAGCTTAAGTTAAAACCTCCACTTGAATTATTGTTGCTTACAGACGTCTTATCGATTAATTTTGGATTTTTAACTTAAAAAAGAAATTAAGGGACAAGTTCAATGTATAAATCATCAGTTCTTTTATACGGTGACATGTAGCTGCACTCAAAGTAAAACGTTTCTTATATATTGTTCAACAACCAACCTTGTTTGCCTCTTATGTAAATTATTCTAGTACTCTCATCGGTTCTCCATTTAATGGAGAATCCACTAGGTGCCATCAAAACCCTCATTGTTATTTAAAAATATGCGAGAAAGTTTTTAAGAGATAACTTACACCTTAGTTTTAAAGATTAAGGAGGATCACTTTATTTTGTTTTACGAAACAAACTGCTAAAACACGGCCAAGTTTAGCTTAAATTAAAAAATGTCAATCTATAATGGGCAACTTAATGTAGACATCATTAGTAACAGAACAGTTAAAGTAACTTGTGTACGCGGTAAATGATTGACAGCAGTGTGAAACACGGCATTTAAAACTTATTAAAGTAAAGTAACCAATAAACAAGTCATTGAGATAGATATCACATTAAGTTGTGGGGACGTTAATCTTTTGTAACCGATAATGTCAACGGTAAAAAGGTGTAGAGCCCTGATGTCAAGGGTCAAAATAATAATACCGTAATACTGATAAAAACCAGTTAAATAATAACATTTAACCAGTAGGAGGGACCGAGCCACTTCTCTACCGGGAATATTGTAAAGTAAAATAGTAATCAGTAAGTAGGGTCTATCTGATTCAACTGTCACGGGAACTAAGTCACGGACAGAGCAAAGTATTATAATGTTGCAGTAGCTAGTAACGGCAAGCAGTAACAAAGCTAATAGCCAAGTCTGATGACCATTTGTCTTGCAAGGGCTTACAGCCGGCAAGTAAAATTAATAATCAGGTCCGATGACTCGGGTCAACCCAATGTCCGCAGTTTACGGCATGTAGTAAAATTATTTGTTACTCAATAATCACAAAGTTAACTGCAAGCAGAGGCTACATGTGCGTTTATTAGTTGTAACAAATACTGAGTAGCATTGATAAATATTTATGAGATAAAAAGTTTTACAGTAAATAAAAATAAAGAAAGTAAATAAAACAATAGCAAAGAGCACGTGGGAGTAGGGAAGCCAGTAAGAAGAGAGTAAAAGCGATTCAGGTTTTCCTTCCCCTTAATATACACCTGTACTTTGTGTAAAACGTGGCTAGTCTCTCCATCCAGAATGGACAGTGCTTTAGGTGTTGACGTGTTGGTCAAGCCAATGATATGATTTGCCGCTATGTCAGATGACCAACGATCTGGGTGCTTATATAACATACAAAACATGAGTGTGATTGGGTGGGGGTATAAGAATGCGGGTAACTGGTGGGTGTCGTAGGCAGGGTAAGATGGCGGCATAACACTTTTACCGGCACACATGACTAAGTCAAACAAAATATATTAAAATTAATTGCTTATATTAGCTTATGTTGCCATCAGAACGACTGGGAACAAAAAATAAACCGCAAAGATTGCTAAACATTGAAGTGAAAGATATCACCAAATAACAACTATACAAAGGGAACTCGTAGATGCACGTGTATATACTCATGGAGCTGTTAGCGAACGTTGTCTTAGAACTGTGAGCTGGCCACAGACCGAAACGCTTTAAAATCTACCAAAGAAAACTCCAACATCAGTATCGTGAAACCCAAGCACTCTGTGGCATAGACGCCATACCTCATCCACATCATTATCGGCAAACAAGAAGACAATGTAGCTATCTTGCTACTATAAGATAGAGGAATAATGTGACCTAACTACTAGACACATCTATGACATGTGTAGAATTTTCCATTTTAGATTACATGGTGGCGTAAAATTAATTGACGGGAAATACATATCGGCACATCCCTGAACGGAATAGAGATATTTCGTTTTGGTAGTTGTTTCCCCTATTATAATGTATTGTAACCAGGGGAAGAAACCAATATAGGGAATTTTTATGTGAGAACAAAATTAATAATACAATATAAACTAAAATGATATTTTAAATGTATTATAAAATATGCAGCTATTAATATTTACTTACCTAATATCACATAAAATTCTGTCCATATTTCAAAAGTTTTGGATTTCTGAATAATTTAATTTGCTCTAAAATTTGTAGAATAACATTAGCTCAATGACCGGCTGCATTTTGCCAGATCGAAAACCGCCGCTTTAACCATGGCTCCTATTGATTTAATGATAGAAATTTTGGATCCCTTGAAAATCAAGGGACAATATCATTTTGCAATTTTCACTAAGTCGATGAAAGTCGATCAGATTCTGTTATTTTAGCTTGCAAACAACTTTAATTACTAATAATGTAATGGGTGACCCGTCAAAAGAGCGCACGACAAAAGAGCGCCGACATAAGAGCGCAGACAAAAGAGCGCCGACATAAGAGCGCGCTAATTTCCCGACAAAAGAGCGCAAACTAAAGATCGAAAAACCATATTTAATAAATAGAAACAAGAAGATTAACTCAGATAGGAAGAAATGGTTTGTAGTTAACTCTGTTTTGTTTCATTAAAAAACTAATTGTTCAGTTTATTTAAGTAAAAAACTGGTATTGACTGGTATTGGCGATTGATATTATCCATTGTTACGAACATCATCATTCTGTAAACGTCAGTCGTTCCGGAATCCCAAAAGACGAAATTTTGCCCTCTTGTTCTCGTTTGGAGAGTTTCAGGAATTGTTATCTCTGCAACGTTCTGCGGATTTGGGTATGGCAGCTGCTTGCGTTTTCTCTGTCTTTCTATTGCACGTTGTGAAGCGACGTATGCCGGCAAATGAGGTACTACTTCCATCGAAATTCCTGCTCTGGCTTGTTGTATAATCTGCCTTGGTTTTTCCAACTCTTGACAGAACAACATCGTTCAACATTTTCATCCGTCCTCGGCAGCCATCTTTCTTACAGCATCTCCATGTCGTACTTTCATCAGCATTTGCTCTGTCCTTTCGATATCTGTAGCCTTCGACCAATATCTTCTCCATGTTACTTGGGTTAGAGATATTTTCAAACTGCATTCATAATATATTAACCATAATATATAAATAAACACATGTCGTTTTATCGTACCGCCGATTTTTTAATTAAAATATGTCTTATTCGTTTAGCGTACAACGTGTGTTTTTTTTTAATTGACTGCGCTCTTATGTCGGCGCTCACATCTAACAACACATTTCATAACAATATGGCTTGTAAATAAGTCACCAACTTCTCATTTTTTTACGTGCCAGCTAGTATTTTTTAAACCAAATATGTTTTTTTCTTTAAAAAAAAAATTAACAGAAAAGTTACCTCCCCTTTTATTGTATAATAATAGACTGCAAGTTGTAGGCAAATACAGCCAACTTACTTTTTTTAAAGAAGTTTACAGTTTGAAATGGGGATTAATGGAGTTATGGACCAGTGCCGGGGGAGGTGTAGACTAGTACTGGGGGAGGTGTAGACTGGTACTGTGGGAGGTGTAGACTAGTACTGAATAAGTACAAAAACGTACAACGTCATGATCCTATCACTTATCTCTGATGGCTCAATGCACAATATTAGCGATGTATCGACATTCACATCCTCAGATGTGCTGTATTTACTTGCTGATTCGGAAAGGTAGGTCTGATCTCAACAAGTTATGATCCGTAGTTGGATACGGCACGTATAGATGGAGAAAAACAAGTTGACGAAAACAATGTCTACGAAATTAAAAAAAAAACCGCACTATTACCGAAAAGCAAATTGGACCATTTTTAAAAATTATAAAACGTTCTTCCTTAAGTTTAATGAACATAAAAGAGTTGATCAAAGAAGAACATTTTAAAAACGAAACCAGATAACTTTTTTTTTAATTTTGAAAAAATTAATTTCCTTTAAAATGTTAAGGAAAGCTTTAGCTAAATGACCAGCTAAATTTTGTAAGAAATGAAACCACCGCTTAACTGGCCTCAACTGGTCACATACGTGTAATTTTAAATTTTAGATCCCTTGAAAATCAAGTTTGGTCCAGTTCATATTGGACCAGAGAAAACATCTGAAGATAACGCACCAGTGCAGAATTCTGACAGTAAAGATATCTGGTCAGAATATGAAGTCCCAGAAGGTTCTGAATTTGATGTAATAGATGATCCTAGACCTCAGCCTGAGTATGATATGTTGTATAGTCAATCAGTCACGAGCGAGGATATATTTTTACAAATGGGTAACAAGACATCAGCTACATCTAGCTGTGAAAATATGACAATAAAAATCAAACTTCCAAGCACAAAAATGTCAGAGGTAGAATTAGATGTCAAGTCAAAGTTTCTTGACTGCCGCACACCTAACTATAAACTTGGGCTGCACTTACCTCACAATGTTGACCACAAGAATGGCAAAGCTCAGTGGGACTCTAAAACAGAAACTCTTATTGTGACTTTAAGAAAGGTCAGAGACTTTGATGAATTTAACTTCTAAAAAAAATGATTGTGTATTGCATTTATTTTGGTGCTCATAGTGTTAAATCTGAGATAAAAGTGTCTGCCATTGTGTAAAGCTGGTTGTATATATATATATATATATATATATATATATATATATATATATACATACACAAACACGCATACATATATATGTCAGTCTAAGGATAAATGTTTTAAAAAATGAAAAGTGATATATGAACTGAATGTGATATGAAAGTTAATACAAATAAATTATACAAATCTTGCTTTTTAAAAGTTGAATATGTTTTAAACAATTAAACAGGTTTTCTGTTGTTAAAATATTGTTCTTTTTTTAAAGACAAAATATTATCTGATAATGTGAATAAAATGCATAAAAAAAAAAAAGGACAAAAATTGTTAATAGACCTTGATCTTGTCCCTTGATTTCTAGGGATCCAAAAATATTGTAATTTTAATACAGATGTAGATAACTACGTGATAAAGCTGTAGAATCCCAACTTAAAAGAACGTCAGCAGGTCATTGAACTAATGCTTGTTTTTTTTTATTTTATTTATTTTAGAGCAAATGATTATTCAGAAATCCAAAATGATCAAGAACGGACGGATTTTTGCCTAAGAACTTAGGCAGGAAAGCTTTAGCTCAATGACCTGCTAGTTTTTTTAAGGAATGAAACCACCACTTGACTATTCTATTATACCATTGTTTTGGATCCCTTGAAATCAAGGGACAAATTGACAGGACGGATCAAGAACAGGGGCCGGCAAACTTCGGCTCGCGAGCCGCATGCGGCTCATTTGATGTCGAGATGCGGCTCTTCAGCTCCAAGCACAAATATTAATAATTTTATTTTATTTTCAAGACTCATAAAAATATTGTTCTGCAACACTCGGTAATTTACGATAAAATAATAAACATAAACAATACACACTCGCTATTCCGTTAGAATATTTAGTTACGCCTTATTTCTATGTACTTCCTATTAACTTTTCTATCCCAAATTAAAACATTCAACTTCAAGATGAATATCACAAAGAAACTAAACGAAATAAATGTAAAACTGCATGGAAAGTAAAACCCATCCTTGCTTGAAGAAGATGATTGTTTCGAAAAAAAATTACTTCACTTTGTTGAAGACACGGAGTGCGGTAAATTACTTTATTATCGGCAATTAAGAAGACAATATGGCTTTCTTGCTACTGTAAGATGGATGAATAATTTGCCCTAACTACTAGACACATCTATGACATGTGAAGATCTATCCATTTTAGATTTCATGGCGGCATACAATTAGTTGACGGGAAATGCATCGAGGCACATTCCTGAAGGGAATAGAAACAAAAGAATATTTCCTTTTTCTAGTTGTTTCCCATATTTAAATTTATTAGATGCAGGGGAAGTAAGTAATATCCTGATTTTTTTTTTTTGTGTAAGAACAAAATAATACAATAAAAACTAAAATGATTGTTTCACTTACATACAATGCAGCTATTAATATTTTTTACCTAATATTTTATCCATTCTTGTTAAATTTTGGATTTCTAAATGATTAACTTGCTCTAAAATATGTAGAAAAGCATTAGCTAAATGACCGGCTGCATTTTTCCAGATGGGAAACCACCGTTAAGTCACTAGTCATGTTAAAATAATATAAATAAATTTTGGATCCCTTGAAAATCAAGGGACTATACTAAATTGTATGAGTATATGAGGATATCTTAGTGCTGGAGTGATGGGCATTCTTAAACCACTTGATTTTTTTATGCGCGTTTAAAGTAAATCATTTTAGCGTGGCCGAGAGTTGAGTCGTTGTTGATTGATAGATGCGGTTGAGTAATCGTGTATTACATATTGAGAATGTCGAGTAGCAGCGATGTTTAGAATGGTTTATTTGGATAATGCTATTTAAATAGTCGTGAAAAAAAACGTATGTTGTGAAATTTGAGTAGTTGAGTTAATAGTTGAGTATAGTTCGTCGAGATAATCGTAAATGCGATGGTTTCGTGAAGGATCATCCTGTGACAGGACAAATGATCTCAGACAAAATATTTCACGGACAATTGATCTCAGGACAAAATATATCAGGACAAATGATATCATGGACACATAATCTCAGACAATAGAGAATAGTGTATTCAATGATTTCAGTTCATCTGAACATTGTTTTATTGACTATCATAATATTGTGTTTACTATGTTTAATATTGTTTATAGGTCTATATAATAATTGTGAGAAATGTTTGCCGTATAAATTTGTCATATTGCACTTAACATTTTGAAATTAAGATTTCTTATATAGTATGCGAAGATTAAAGAAATATTTCAATAGGTAGCGTAGGTGGGCTTGCCAAACATGAAACAATCCTACCAAGTCAGGTGGACGAAACTAGATCAAAGCGAATGAAATAACAATATACACACACCTTCGTATCAAGGTGGCCGCCCGCTTTGATGGCAGAGACACGCCTTAAAAGGGAAAGACATCCTCCCTAAATGGACAATACATCTAGCAACTAAAGTCAATAGTTATGCGTAGGTCACACCTTATTGATCAGGTGACAAAGGCTAATTTAAACGACAGCGGTCATCGCATGGCTATGTTTGTCGTAGTGTGCATGCAAACAAAGCATCATTAATGGTGATTATTCAGCTATGGCCTCTTCGTTACCTCGCAAAATGGTTTTAGGACATTAGTTTCTGGTGAATTTATGTTTATAAAAGCGATTTGTAAATCTGAAGTTTGGACATGTCGAGCTAGAGTTCACACAACATATGATCACATAGTATTAGAGAGTTGTGATCATAACGATGTACCTACCGGCATAGAAACGTAAGCGTTATGTTTCTGTTGATGATGCAATAAAAACAATAGTTTTATGTAACAAACCTGAAGACACATTCACATTTTTGAAAAATATTTCGCGTGTTTTCAACAGCAATGTTGTATAGCTACCGTTACTTCATTTGTTTAAACATCATTTATTATACCTTTTAGGCTAAAGGAGTAAGTTTGTTTTAATTTTTACTTTTTCAAATAAAATGGTATTACAAATATTAAATTTAATAAATCTTATGATGCTTTGTTAAGTTGAACAAATTCATTTTATTCACAATTATAATGAGCAAAAAGGTAAACAAAGCCATATTGATAGTCAATTTAAAAATTTTCAAATCAACTAAAATCATCCAATACACTATTAAAATTTTGCTGTGAGATATTTTGTCTGAGATATTTTGTCTGAGATCATTTGTCCATGGTATCATTTTTCCTGATATTTTTTGTCCTGGTATCTTTTGTCCGCGAGATCATTTGTCCTTGAGATAATTTGTCCTGAGATCATTTGTCCTAAGATCATTTGTCCGTGAGATATTTTGTCTGAGATATTTTGTCTGAGATCATTTTTTCCTGAGATCATTTGTCATGGAACCGGATCATCCTATCTAGGATTTATCCTAGGTAAGCGTCGTCTAGCTGAAAAATCGAAAGTAGTTCCAAGCAACATTTCCTAGGATCAAATCTACCATCAAAGACAAAGACTACAGTAGACCAGCAAGTCCGACACGGTCAAGTTGAGGTTTATTGCAAAAAGTCTCAATCAATAAAGATCAATTCAATACAGACAACATTAGTAAGAGAAAAGTTGAAGTAACAATTGTACGCAGTAGATGATTGACAACAGTGCTAAACACATTGAATTGATGAATGAAAAACACATTGAGATGGGTGGCACATTGAATTATGGGGACGCTAATATATTGTACACGGTGATTCAGTCAAACAAAATCTATGAACATCAACTGATGATTTTGTCACCCATGGACTTTTTTTTTTTAAATTCAGTTTGCTAAAAATGAACCATATCAACAATAAGGACTTTGTAAAAAGAAATCTTAGAATTCCAGTTCAAATATGAAGAGAAAGAGCTGTTAGAGGACGCTATACCAGAACTTTGGGAGCCCGATCACAAATTTAAGAAAACTCGTCAACATCATGAAACATCAGCATTCGGTTGCTTAGATGATATACTTTAAAAAGTTCAAAAACGACGGTGAACACTCATATATGATCATAACTCCTAAACACCCGGTGACAGAAATCCTATACTTTTTTTTTCACATCTCTTTCAACGAACAAGAATATAGTGTGGCTATTTTGCAACTGTAGGTTATAGCAATATATAATGTGACCTAGCTGCTAGACCTACATACACATCCCTAACATGTGTAGAATTCTCCATTTTAGATTTCATGACGCCATAAAATTAGTATACACATCTCTAGACGATGGACGACAGATATAGACTGTTGGGGCCCGCTTTTATTCAATTAAAAAAAATGCACGGTTAATCCACATATTTTTTTCACGCTTAAACAAATTTAACAGTAATACCCTTCTGAGATGGGAGGGTTTCGGGAAGATGTGAAAGTATCAATTGTATAATGTAATGTATACTGTAATACATATAAAATCCGGGGATCGTACCTTGTTATCGTCTTCTTTAAAATGTAGCATGACACAGTTTAGTGATGGAAACAAACACAAAATATCCAATTCAAGGTAAAACTATAATTTTCTTTATTTACACACAAATTGATCTCCTAGTCCTATCTAATTAATCTTAAATTTTTACCTTTACTCCTATCTAACTAATATTTACTATATCATTTACTCCTATCCAACTAATCTTTACTATATCCTTTACTCCTATCTAACTAATTTTTACTATATGCTTTACTCCTATCTAACTAATTTTACTTATGATAAAATAACCACGTTATAATTAAATATTAAAATATCAGTGAGTGTATAATGTGTTCGTTTGGTCAGGTGTGTAGGTCGAACGGTCAGCGCGACCTCAAAAAAAGGGGGAGAGGCGGTTTGTTATGGAAACACATGTAGCGTAAAGATGGGTAAAAGTAATATAATGACGTCATGTTGAGTAGCCAAATTTACCCAACCCATATAATCGTTGATAGTAAGACAGCCACAAATAACACTAATAATTTCGGTCTAC